CATCTAATATATTTTTTTTTTCCTCTAAATTCTTTGATTGACAGAAAACAGACTCTATAATCAACAGAAATCCCGACTGGAGGGCTCATGCACTCTCGACAACGGTCTTTGTGACGTCTTAATGCCAGCATAGACCTAAAAAAGGTTTTTTGTTCAGAGCTCTTCTGGCTAAAAAACGACGCGCTCAGTTTGCTAAAAAAAGCCTTGAAGCACTTCAGATGAGAAAAAGCAGCATAAAAACTCAGCTCAAAAAAAAAGCAGGTTAAATAAACTAAAGCAAGGTAGAAATCCAAATTTGCTCAAGAACTGTTTTTTGCTTTATTGTTAGTACAGAAATAAATTAATAAAAAAAACGAGAGTATATTTATTTTACATATAAGAATCATTCTCTTTCTTATTATTGAATTACATCTCTTTCCTTTCTGGATAACGTGGTAAACGAAGTAGAAAAAAGAATGAAATAAAATTTAGCAAATTACCTGAACGGCGCACTACATCGTCTACAAATAAAGTTAGAATCTGTGGAATGAACTTCTAAATGACTATTTAATGCCCTTTCAGAAGCATATTTCTGAGGGCAATAACGGCATTTATATATCAATGTTTCGTTCTCAGTATGATAAACTGTGTGTCGACTGAGATATTCTCGAGATGGAAACTGTATTCTACATTTTCGGCAAGGGTAAAGCTGAAATTAAATAAACTGCTTTTCAACGTTACTAATAAATAAACTTAAAAATGTTAAAAAATATAAATTCATTCTATAAAAGTTTTTTTTAAAAAATAACGCGAAAAATAGCCATTAAAAAGCTATAACAGTGGTAATTTTACCTTATGCTTATTCCTCTGAAGATAGACATCAATAACAGCCTGTTCCAAAGGTTTCTTCCTGGTGGTTATTGAACTTGGCTCAACATCAGCTTCGCTGTTCTCAAAACCTTTTTCCTCAGTTACTGCGGCCTCGCCTTTTTGCGTATTATTGTAGTCACCACAGTCGTCAGACTTTTTTACCAACGAAACATTTGATGGATACCTGCACGAGTTAAAAAGTTATATTGCTTTTATATTTACTAACTGATTTTGCTGCTGTTTACCACTCTCTTGCTTCCTTATTTTAATTTTATTTTCAAATAAACTGAAGGTTGTTAGTAGGGAAGCATTGAAAATTACAAGTGAAAATGAAAGAAAAGTGGTTCTTTAATATTTCATCGAAAAAATTCAAGATCTGACTGCTTCTACCCATTTTCACTACGCTCGAACGAATGAAAAAAAGAGTTTCTGCTATTTTTGGACAAAACAAACTTGTCTGAGAAAAACGTTACGGTTTACGCAGCTTATTTGCTTTTCTTTATATTTTTTTATTTTTTTTTGCCGGACAAATACAATACTTGTAATCAGCCACGGTTAAGTTTAGTTGGAATTATCTTT